TTTTTCCATTTTCTCTCTTTCACTATTTTTGAAAAAAATAATACAAAAGAAATAATAAATAATATTTAAAATGAATAGTTAAAAATATAAAAAAAATATGTTAGAATGTGTATTGAAAAAGTGAGTACCTAAAATAAAAAATATTATTCTTTGAATAGACAAAATAACTATTATTGTTGCACATCTTAAAGGGGTATAAACTATTTGAGACCCCCAAAAAAAAAAAAAAAACCAAACAAACAAACAAACAAGAATGGCAATTAAGTCCATTCAAACAAAATTGTACTAAAACGTCATTAAGGCTAAAGGACAGGATAACTGTGGGATTCAAAATTATTGTCGAAGACAGAGATGGATATGACCTTATGCACACTCTGCACGAAATGTTCACGATGATGATGCATGACCATGACTAAAGAGAAGTTCCCAAAAACAAAAAAGTTTAATTATAAATTACACCCTTGAAGTTTAGATCAAATTGTAATCAACTTCCTCTGGTTTGAATTTTAATAAATTATCCTCTCAAACTTTGTACACTTTTCAATTAACTCAAATTGTTAGTTTCGACAATGAAAAATAACGAAAGTTAAGTCACTTGATCTCAAATTTATTGAAAATAGAAAATTACCCTCAATTCAAATTTTTTTTCCTCACGTCAAAATTTTTTTCATTCTTATTCCTAATACAAAATGATGTGAATGCTGATCTTATTTTTTCGTAGAATTTGAGATCATGTGATTTTGTAAATTGAATATTTTCTGTAATTTTTAACAATCAAAATTAATGGCTTGGCTTAATTTATAAATATTCAAAATATGGGGGGGTAAATTATTAAAACTAAAATTAGCGGGAGTTGATTCAATGTGACCTAAAGTTGAAGGAATATTTTGTAATTAATCGGAAAAAAAAAACCAATGAGTACCATATTAAAATTTTGAAATATAAAATATGACTATAAAAAAGTCTGATCAATTTTAAAATATTATAATTTTTTTAAGTTAAAATTATAATTTTTAAAAGCCAACTTACTCCACAATCACTAACAAAGTACTCTCACGCTTATGTCTTGAGAAAAATTATCGTACCAAAAAAAATATGACCGATTTTAAAATATTATAATCGATTATGAATATCTTTTAATAAGTTATAATTTTATTTTTAAAAGGTATAATTTATCCTTTAAAAATTATAATTTTACCTTAATTTTATCTTTTAAAATTATAATTTAATTTTTTTAAAATTAATTATGGGTTCAATTATATATTAAAATTTAGTGTTAATCTAGTGATTATAATAAAAGCACATCATTGATCAAAAAATTAAATCAAATTTTTATATCCAAATAACATTACTCTAAAAACGTTGCCACGAAAAATGTTTTTCTTCGCAATCTATAAAGTTTAACATGTTACAAGTACTGAAATTGTTTTCGTAACTCAACCAGATTACATGCAAGCCAGGCCACTCTATTTTTTGTTAAGACCAAAAAAGGAATGATATATTGGTGAGTTTATTTATAATTCTGACATTTATTTTAGTAATTATCATCGACATGATAAAGAAAAAATATTTTATTATTTAATCAAATGAATGATAAATAACTAAGTGATAGCATGATTGAGATATAAAAAATAACAAGTTAATTCAAGACTTTCTACGTATGAAAATTCCTTGGATTCAATTTTAAATAATTTTGATTAGTCTTTATTTTGTAAAAAAATATAATTAGTTTTTTTTTTTGTCATTCGTATCTATTATGCTTACCAATTTTAGTCTTTTAAATTTAATAAATTTTTAAGAATTAAATAAGATGTAATTAAAATAAATGCATTATCCTTATTTTATCAATTATAAGAAAAAAATTGAACTCATTAAAATATTCGGTACTTACCCCTGAAACGATTTTTTGGCTCCATCATGTATACAAGTTATAATTCAAAACTGACTTGCACGTATTTTTTATTTCCTTTCAATAAGTGAGATTGAACATGATTGGGCACTTGGTAAGGTACAATAGATTTGCTCGCATTAGGAGTGCAACTCAGGCGAGTTCGACGAGTTAGACAATTAACTCTAATCCAATTTTAGGTATATAATTTTTAACTCTAACTCTAACCCTACATCGGGTTGGAAAACTAAACTCGAGCACTGCCAGAGTTTAATTCGGACGTACTCGGGTTGAATTATAGTTGATAATTTCGGACTGATTTTGGGTTACTTTACGGGTTTAATTCGAGTAGAGCCCAAAACAGGCTTGTTGTTTTAAACCTAATACATATATTACATAATATTCACCTAAATTACCAACCAATAACTTCAACCAAGTTTTTAACGAGAGAAGCTGATAGAGGCAAAGAGAATGACAAAGACAGAAAATGATAGAACAAAAATGAAAAATCAGTGTTAATATTATATATATATATATATACGGGTTTGTCGGGTTCGGGTTGAACTCAGGTTCATGAGGCCTTAACCCGAGTCCAACCCAAATTGAATTCGGGTTGGAATTTTTTGACCTAAGTATTAAAAACTCTTATCCAAGTCCTAATTTTTTTGAGTTGAGCTCGAATTGAAATCAGGTTGCCCAATTCTAGTTGAACCCCTAGCTCACAGTGATTAAAGAATTCAGGAGTGATCACCCCACCTTTTGGTAGGAAGTATGATATTCTACCTTTCTATTCAATATTTTGAAGAAATTTTTTTTTGATCTATCCTATTCGATTAAATGTATTATTTTTATCCGAATTTCATCCAAAACAATAGAGTAGGAAGTTGTGTAAGAAATGGGGATAACACATATTTTTTAGTTATTAAATTTAAATTTTTTTTTAATAATTTAATTAAATACTATGTACTAATTAACTAACACAATAAATAAAGAGCCTCTGGCTTCTTAGTGAGATATCAGGGGTTCGAAGTCTCCTGAGCACAAAAACGTGGCTGTTTAGTAGAACAAGACTTCAGTTGTTTGAACAAACCGTATTCAAGTCTCTGATATGGATCTTGAGTTTATTACAAAACGTAAGTCTTTATTTTAACTGGTGTATAAGCTGAGAAGTCGGTTCATACACTCCAACTTTGTCTATTGTTTCTACTCAAAGTTACGAGCCTAAACGATATAAGCGCGTCTTTACTCGTTGAGAAAAACAATGAGATTTTCTTGTTTTTGAAAATAATATTAAAAAAAATATAATAAATTCGATAATACATAAAAAAATATTATAAAATACAAAAAAAAATTATAAATATCAATACATCATATATAAGAAAATAATAAATATTAATAAAATATTAGAATTTCTAGATTTTAATTTTTAGGAATATATATATATACTAGTTGGGTGCACACATGCATTACACGTGAACTATTTTGAGTAAAATACCATAAAATAAAGTCGTGAACTAGTTTCTTTGAAATTCATATTTTTAGTCAATTATTTTATTTGAAATTTCTATTGTTAATAAATTATTTTCTCTGAAATTCATGTTTTTAGTGAATATTGATGATCAATGATCGATAATCACTTTTGATAAGCAAATCCCAAAACAAAAGCAAAAAAAATAAGTACTAAATATGATAGTTGGTCAATTCATGAATAAATTTGGAAAGGATGTTTTTGTCTATATACAAACATTACCACTAAAGAATGCAAATAAGTAGTTTTTTATAAAAAAAAATATTAAATAATTTAGATATTTAATTGTAAATGGATAAAGTAGTCTTTGTAATTTTTTATAAGGGTAAAATAGAGAGTTAAAAATTTTTCATGTTAAGATATTTTTATTAATAGTATAGATATAAATATATGTGGGTAAGGTAGGGTATGATAGAAATATAAAAATTTTACAAATATTTTGCATTTCTACTCAATTTTATATGGAATATTAAAAAATCTTTCTTTAGTCTATCCGATTATTTTAGGTAGCAGATCAATAGAGTTGGTCAAGGTAAGATCAAAATTTACTGGTAATAAAAAGTTTGAATATCTTTAAACATGATGTTGAAAGAAGATTAACAAACCTCGAGGAAATTTTTTTTTGGAGATAATAATTGGTATCTATAGAATTCTCAATAATTCCAATATAAATTAAAAAAGAAAAGGATGAAATTCTAATCTTCGATCAAAAGGAAATGGAATAGGGGGATATGATGAAATTAGCAGATGCTACGGACTTAATTGGATTAAAAAAACATGGTGGGGGTGGCCACGTGGGTGATGTCACGTGCTTGAGGAACACGTGGGCCATACAGTTGGAAGCAAAAAGTGGAGGGAAATACAGAAAGGCTATTGGTTTAAATTTCCTATCAGTAATGATTAGCGCTTGATTTGATTCATGAACTGGGGATCTCATCGAAACCCGAAGCTTGCATCATCCACGCTTCATTTCCCCGGTAAAAGACATAGTGGTAATTTTTCGAATTAAAAATTATTATTTTTAAGAATTGTTGTGAATTAGGTAATTGGTCCGATAACTTCGGTCCATCTTTTAAGACCAAAAACCCATATGGAAGTTTCATAGAAGGTGTTGGATTACTGGAACTTGGGAAATCACTTTTAAAGCTTTTTAATTTATTTACCAAATGCCCACCATTTTATTTCTATTTTTTACCATAGGCCTCTTTTTTTTTTAATTTAACGGTTAAGACTGTTTGAATTATCTTACGTGCATATTGATTAATTTTTTATTCTGTTCAATAAAAGGTTGATCATCCATATCTCAATTAAGATATTAACGAAAAATAAATCTCTTATAGTCTGACTCCAAAAAATTATCAAGTTTCAAATTTAAAGACATCTGTATTTACAGTTTGTCTTTATTGTTACTTGAGTTTAGAACTGTTAAATAAGTCAAACTTAAAAAAATTTTAAATCTCGTTTATGTATAAATTCAGTTCGATTTAAGCTCGAATTCAGGTCGATTAACACCCCTACTTAAGTTACCCCTTGCAATTACCATAGATGTTTTAATTTTTATTCCTTCAATTAAAATAAGGTTCCTTCAATTAAAATCCCATAACTTGAATAGCTCTCATTCCATTCATGATGAAGCTTGATTAAAACCAACACTATTACAATTTACACAATTACTTTGCTGCCTAACCTATTTTCTCAACATAAAATTGGAAAAGAAAACCACAACAGAATTTAATTATCTATTAGTTCAGCTTGTCTACTCTCTAAACAAACCATTTCCTATGCAAATCATTCCCTTTTTCTCTAAACAAAATCCTCAAAAATGCTCATCATCTTGAACTTGAGAACAGGAATGCTGCACTCTAACCCCACTGAAACTAGTCCTTGATGCCATAATCTCATTAAGTGAAAGCCTCTTCTTTGCCCCTGCCTCTGGTCTCTGCTTTGGAGCACTATGAGATCTCAGTTTGGCACTAAAAGACTGTGTGTTGGCCATGTAGCTAGGATAGTTGGAGTATGCCCGGAAGAAGCTGTCGCCGCATACACTCTTGGCCGGAGCGTTGGACCAGCCAGAATTTCCAAACCGGGGAGTGCTCTGGGCAGTGGGAAACTTGCATTCATCACCTGCGGAGTACCATTCAGAGTCTTGAAGATGTCGGCATTGGGGTATGGAGATTTGAGGCCGAGTTGGCCATGGAAGAGGTGATGATATAGCTTGGTAATGTGGGTCATCGCCGGAATCCGGCATACCGGTGTTGATCCGGCCGGATCTAGTTTCCGGCTTGTATGTGTCGATTTCAACAGTTTTTGGGCTTCCCTCTGTAGTGTCATAAGAAGATGATAGTCTCTTGCTGTGGAATTCACTTCTTGTGTCATCAAATTTTTCCTACAAAAAGTACAGAACAAAACCAATCATAGTATTGCCAATTTGATCACAGAAAGTTATTGGATTCTTTGGGCAAAAGGAGAGAGAGAGTTACGGATTCTTACAATGGACTTTCTAGCTCTCATTTCGAGTTGAAATCGACAATCATTTTTGATCGAACGACGAGCTCTTTGGGTTCGGACAGAAGCCTGAGCTCTGATTAGAGCTTGCATACTATGAAGAGTTGCAGCAGCTCGTTTTCGGACAAGGTACCCTCTAACAAGAGCCTGTAATTTTACCAATCCTCTTAGAGCTCGAAGTGCTTTTCGGGCCTGACAGAGAATCAAACAAATTAGATCCCAAAATTTTAAAGATCAATTCTGAAAATTAGGATCGATTATAATTTTTTTGCAGCATAAGTTGTAACAAGACTTATAGTAAATTAAGATTAAATTGTAACTTTTAATACGATACACACCAAAGATTATTTATTCGAATTAGAGACAGAGACAAGACCATAAAGCATTACAGGTAAATCTTATGAATAATTGCTAAATGGCACAAGAGAGATATAGTGAACTACTTTGAACTAAGGATTTGACCCTTAGTGATTAGAACAAATTAAAGCCACGAAGAACAACAAAACACAGTGGAAATGAAAACCCACTTACCAAATAACCCCGAAAAACATTCTGAATCTTGACAGCAGCCCATCTCTCTCTCCCACCAACAAACAAAGCTCCTCTGCCTTGGCTAGTGAGTCTAACAACCGCCACCGCCGCCTGTGCTGCCGCAACAGCAGCATCTGCGGCAGCGGCGGTGGCAGCAGCAACAGCAATGGCGTGCTTGCTCTGCTCCTTCTCTGTCTCAGTAATATAAGATCTCATCCAAGCAGAATCAGGGACCGGAATGTTGGCCGGCGTGTTCATTGGAATCTGACCCATGACCTTTGAATCCTTCCCTGACTTGCCAAAACTCCACCTTTTCTTCTCTTTCTTGTCCCCAATGTTCGAATTCTCCACATTTTCCTTGTCTTTCTTAATACCCAACAGGCCTCTCAACCACCTTGTAGCTTTTCCCATTTTCCCTACCCTAAGCTCTGGATTGAAAGTTGGAACTGTGGAAAGAGAAACAGAATATATCTTTAAGAGAGAGCGAGAGAGAGAGAGGAGATAATGCAAATGGAGAAACGGGAACAACTGTTGTTTACAGAGAATCGACACTGAAGGACAGTTAGAATCTTGACAGGCAGAGAGCAGAGAAGTGATGAGAACATAAGAGAGTGTGTGGAGGAAAAGGTTAACAAAAGGCGTCAAAGAATAAAATAGTAGATCGATAAAGATTGGTTTTTTTCAATTTTTTTTTTTTGAAAATTTGTTTCTGACAGAACCGCGTGAAGAACTGCATTATAAGACAAAAAGGTGTTATCAGAAACAAACGGGTTAAAAAATTATTATAATTGAAGTAAGACTGAAACTTGCAAACCAAACAAACAAGAAAATTACAGACAAAATTAGTGAAAAAGGTTAGGAAAAATCTATGAAACTATCACCAAGGGGAGAGGCTCGAAAACTCTCAAAACCATTGGCTACCCTCCTGAAATTCAAAAAAGGATTGAGCTTGCACTTCCTCCAATGACAAACAGCACATAAATCATTTCTGCCCCCCCCCCCCCCTTCCCACTTCTCTCTCTCTCTCACAATGAAAACTAAGCATCCTCTTTCTCTTGTCAAACAAACTAAAATTACAGACAAATTCCAATAAAGCAAGAGCCAGTGAAAAAGTAGTAATAACTCAATAGGTTGTAAAACGCACCTTCTATGTTCAAAAAAGCAGTCAAATCTTACTTCATCCAATGAGAACTAACAAGTTACAAAACCCACAAAAAACTTCCACTCTCTCCAAAAATTATTTATTTCTCTCACTAAAAAACCCTCTTTTTCTCTCTCAAACTTTCTGGAGCAACGTGTACTAAATATGCAAGATATACACTAGGGTTCCCACCAGCTCGCACCATCTCATGAGCTCTTCGGAGTTATTTATTTATTTATTTAATTTCTCTCTCCTAAACTCAAAGCCCATTATGAGTAATTTTGCCATATTTTGCCTCTGCAGAAGACTTACTCTCTTCCTTGACAATCTATATATCTCTTTCAACATCCATAGCCTTTTGTCGAGCTTTTAAAGCCTAAAATGGGGGCAAATAATGGCATGGGTTTCTGAGAAACCTTATGGTTTCCCACTGGACACTTCGTCTGGACCCGTCATTATAGCACTTGCCAAAAGAGAAGGTTTTGTATTTGATTGCTTCTCTACTGTACCGGCCATAAACGATGATAATAGAATAGAAAGATCCTTGATTTGGGTCCCCCTGCGATATTAAGGAAATTTTCATTTGACTTTTGGGGATTTGTTCAGAAATCCATGCCATTACTCAAGCAGAAAATCTCTGGGAAGATGGTTTTTTTTTGGTGGCAACTGAAATGGGTGTGTTAGTGTGTGAGTGTATACGCATTTTGTCAGTTGTCTATGCGAAATAAGGACGATGGCAATTAAGAGACTACGGTCGAGGACAGTTTGTGGGGACTTTTCTAATTTCCCAAAATTTAGGGGGATTAAATAATTTAATATAGTACACCTGTGAGAGAGATTAAAAATGATAATTTATAATTTAAAATATAAAACATAATAAATTTTAATAAATTCATTTACCGTATCAAACAGATTTATCTAATTACTACTAATATACCTCTTAAAATAACTCACATTGCACTGTGTGTCAGGCACGAATTACCTCTAATTTGATAATAAATGGGATATCTCCGATTATTAAATAAAATTGAAGTTTCCATCAATTGTATTTGAGCATGAAATTCTATCTAAATCAATAATTCAAAATTCATTTAAAATTTTTAACATTTGAAGTGCTCCTTAGTTAGAGAAGATCAATTTACATATACAGATTCTCACCATTCAAAAAAAAATTGAAAAAGATTATATAGGCAAGTATGTTAATCAGTTAGTGTTTGATAAAATTAAAAGTTGAATACTAAAAATTGAATGTTAAATTTAAGTGTCTAATACTAAATTTTTAAATTTGTGTTATTATCTACTATTGAAATTGAACGAAATTGTTTAACAAATATAAAAAGATGAAGTTTAAAAATTATTATTATTATTATTATTTTTTTAACCATCTTGTTGTAACTATCTTATTCTTACCATCACCATTACAAGCGGTGGTGGCGAGGACAGAATAATGGTTGTGGTGGCGATATAATGGTGGTGCCAATGGTGATGGTGGTGGTGGCAGCGACACAATGTTGGCGATGGTAGTGACATGGTGGTGACACAATGGTCGTGGCAGTGAATGGGGGCTATTGAAAATTTATGAGTGTAAAATACATTGAGGTATATTTGTCCATTTTAAGAAATTTATAAAATTCTTATTGGTTAACATTTTTAGTATTAATTGATAAGTAAAGTTGTTTACTATTTAAAATTTTAGCATATTTTTAAAAAATATTTAAAATATTAAGTGGTATGAGTTTTAATTTATCAAATACATTTAATTTATTAAGTATTTAAACTATTCAAGTTTAATTCTCTCTTTTTTATTGAAAATAGATGAGAAATCATTAGTAACTAATGATGATTTGTTTTTTCTTTTGAAGTAGCTAATGAGATTTGAATTATATTGCAATATGATAGTTTTTTTTAATCACTTCAACAAACTTAGGTCTCCTTAATTATCAGATAGCTTGATGGATTTTACATAATACTCAAAAGAAAGAAATGATCAAGAAAAAGAAAAGAGTCACCGACTAGGATTTTTTTTGGACCTTGGACTTTTTAAAATATTTGGGCAAAGAAGAATGGGTAAATTATATTCTACCCCTCTAAACTATTATCCTTATTTCACTTTGTATCCTCAACTATTTTTTTTCTTTCTTTTTTTTCACATGCAACAACACAATCAGAGAACTTTGAAGACATATCCTCAACTATAAATTTCTCATATTGCACCGTAAAATATCAATTTTATTTCATATCACTTCAATTGATAATGCCAATTTTTTGAGGGTAAATGCGTATGTGATTGACCTGTACTATCAATAAATAACTGTTTATTTTACATGTGCAAGCCAAAAATTAAGAAAAATACCTATTCAGGACTTTGTCCTTCCTAAGCTCCAAATTTTTTTCCTCTGACTGACCTTTTTCTTCCAAACAACCATTTGGTTACAAAAGAGGTGAAATAAAGTGGTACTAGGCACTTGACGGGAAACTCTTTGGGGTTTCCCTCCCTCATTTGAAAGAATTTTAAATTTGCCACTATTTATTTGAGTGATTTGAAATAAAATTAATATTTTAGGGTGTAATGTGAGAAATTTTATAGTTAAAGGTACAAAATAAAATAAGGGTAATAATTTGAAGGGATAAAATATAATTTACTCAAGAAGAAACTAGGACAACTTGCTTATACCTATCTCTATTTGTGCTTGGGCTTGCTGTCGTCTATTGAGCCCTGCATGTGGAGCATTCAACATGAACATTACCGTAAAAATTGGAATCAAAGATAATATGATAATTTATTTTGTCAATAAGGACAGATGCGAATTTTTGAGTCATTAAGGACATATAATATTTAATATTTGGTAAGTCGGTCCAATAGTATGTTTTATATTTTTTAAAATTCTTATGGTGTCCTCCAATAGATCATGCATATAGTGTTGCGTGATTTACATTACTATTCCATTGATGTCTTTATTTGAATTTCAAAATTCAATTATCTCCATTGGATTGTTTTCTTTATATTCAAGAAAATTCCATTGACGACTTCTTTGCTTTCATTGAACCGAATGAAGTTTTCTCTGATTGAATTGCATATGTCTAGCTGTTGAAGATTGTTTTTTCGTTCGATTTGACATTCATGTTTTTTCGTTTGAATTGATAATGGTACGTTGTTTGAATTGTGATGTTTGAATTAATAGTTTGTCGCGAATATATGATAGTATTGACAACATTAATTTAGTTCGATTAGAGGTTTAACAATTTCAATTATGTTTATCTTTCAATTTAAACAGATATGTTAGTTCGTTGAACACCTACTGATGCTATTTATCTTGATTATTTGATAATTTTGTAATGTTTATGCTTTTTGTTTCTATGAATTATACCATGTTATTGTCAGATATGAGTCTGTTATTGTAATTGCGATAACAGATTTTGATTCATGATCAGCTTATGTGGTGTTCGATTACAGTTTTATCAGTTTCAATTATATTTCCCTTTCTATTTAATTAGGTATGTTAATTTGTCGAACAATTATTGATGTTATTTATCTTGATTATTTGATTATTTTGTAATGTGTGTACTTTTTGTTTCTATGAATTCTATCATTTTACTGTCAAACATGAGTCTGTAACTGTAATCGCGATAACGGATTACGATTCCCGATATGCTTATGTGTTGTTATTATTATGGTTTCATTGTTGCATAAATTTGAAATTTTGCTATGTATTTGTTTTCTAGAAATTCTGATTATCTATTTTGATTTGATTTCACATATTTTGAGGTATTGTTGTGCTTGGTTTGTTACTGTGTCAGTTATACTATCAGAACGTGTTACTTGGTGACATGTTATTTAGACATGTGTCAAACATATATGTGTGAAGTGTATAAATTATGTTGTCATTGTGTTATATCTTTACATATTATTCCTTTTTTTTTATTACTTTTTCATGGTGAATTATTTTAATGTTTTTCAAAATACAATTTGGATGAAGACGCAATACTATGTTTGTGTAGATATGGTCATGCATGACACGTACGTAATGAGGTTGGAAGGTAATTCTAGTTATGCTACAGTTTTGGATGGACTCATCAACATGTGGGAAGAATTAAATGAAGAATTACTGTGTATATTTTACTATTACTGTGCTTATTTTATATCTTAGTTCCTATCAAGTGATCAATTTTTATTTATAAATGTGATGCAGGCTTATTCCTTGTTGTATTTGTTGTTGTCGACTTAGAGACCGAGTTAAATTTACATTGGTTTTTGCAGCACTTAGCACAA